CCAAGAATGAAATTGATTTATTAAATGATATTATTTCTATGAAACTTTCGCGGACTGTTCATTACATGAAGTGAATTGTTGTGTCTATGCTGCCGCACGAACCTTGGAGCAACTTCACAAAGTTTCCATAGAAAAAACATCCAATCCTTAGAACAATACAGCAAAGAAAAACCGGGTTCAAGTGAAATTAACAGAAACAGGAATATGTATTTCCTAGATAGAGCCCTGCCTGAAGTTAAGATCATCAGGAGTCAAAACGCCAAAAGTAAGACAATATAAGACAACCAAAGAAAAGATACTTCTCCAAACTGCCGATTCCCTTAAGGCAAAATTAAAGGTTCGGACTGAAAGAAAGAAAAAAATCGGAAAAGAAAAATAAATTCATCAAACAAAATAAACTTTTTAGAAATAATGAAAAACACTTTTACAGGCAACTTAAAACAAACGGTGATGGTGAGCATGATAAGCGGCCTCCTATGGATGCCAATGAGAGGTTCTGGAAACAGTTGTGGTCTGTACCCTGCGACTGTAATCTTGAGGCACCATGGGTCAGTGATTATGACCATGCAATGCATGAGAAAGTAACTAGGTCGTTTGTCTGTTACATCTCACCAGACTGCCTGAAAAGTGTCATCAAAAAGTCCAAATCTAATACAGCTCTAGGGCCTGATGGCATTCAAAACCGGTACTGAAAACTGTTCCCCTGTGTCCAAACACCATTACTTCACTGTTTCAATTCTCTTGTGGACACAAGTGATGTTCCTCCATGGTTCTGCAAAGGTCGCACAATACTCCTTCCCAAGAAAGGAGACTGACTGATCCCAAAAATGTCCACCCTATCACATGTTTGAATACACAATACAAATTATTCACAGGGTGTTTGACAAACCTCGTGTCATCATATTGCTCTGCTAAAAGTTTACAGACAGCAGAAGGGAGCGAAAGGGGTGTTCGGTGTGCAGGGATCAACTTCTTGTACAGAAAAAGATTTTGGAAGAGGCTAAAACATATCACCTCAACCTCTCCATGTGCTGGATTGACTACAAGAAAGCATACGACTCTGTCCTTCATGAATGGATTCTGAAGTCTCTTCATTGTATTGACCTCCCGGAGCGACTACCTGATTTACTTAAGTCTTTAATGAGTTGCTCGTCGACTCAACTTGAGATTTACTCGCAAGAGCAGGTGCAGACTTGGGAATCTATTCCAATCAGAAGGGGAATTTTCCAGGGGGACTCCTTCAGTCCTTTGCTTTTTTGTTTGTCTCTAAATCCTTTGAGCTTTCTGCTCAACAGAGAGGAGGGTTACCATCCTGGACCTCTTCAGCACAAATCCCCAACACCGTTTACTCATCTCCGCTACATGGATGACATCGAGCTCCTTGCCAAAGGAGATACTAATTTGAAAAAGCAGGTTCTCCTTGTCGAGTCCTTTTCTAATGATATTGGCATGACATTTGGGCGCGACAAATGTAATACTCTTCATTTGAAACGTGGCAAGGTAACTAATGATGGATCGGTCAGGTTACAAGAGGGAGGATTTATTGAGCATCTTGTGGAAGATCAGGCCTACACCTATCTTGGAATGCAAGTTCGAGAAAAGCCCCAGAATGCCCAGATTCAAGTAAAACTCCCTTAAAGAAAATCTGGAGCTCAGAGCTAAATGCTCGAATCAAGGTCAAAGCCACCAATACCTTTGCTGTGCCAGTCCTGTCATATTCCTTTGGAGTAGTTGATTGGACGAAACAAGACACCCAGAGTCTTGACCGCCTGACCAGGAGGATCATGTCTGATAACAGAGCCCACCACCCTCATTCCTCTCTTAACCGTTTATACATGCCAATCAATTCTGGAGGTCGGGGTTTGATTAATGTGGAGGCTCTTCATGACAGAATTTTATTGTGTACTTTTGCACATATTTATTTATCGGATGATCCTCTGGTGATGCATGTCAAGACTCATGATGAAAGCATGGAATTCCACAGCTATTTTAAGTGTGCCAAGGTTGTTGGACAGAATTTGAAATTTGAGGTAGATTTTGCTGATGGCGATGTGTGCTGGACGGTACAGCGATGGGAGTAAACCAGGTGAAGTCCATCACCAAGTCTGCCCAGAGTCAGGTGTTTTGTGGAGGAGGCTTTCTGAGAAGCCATTGCATCGTGTACAAACAGAACAGAAGCAATCCCACCGACTCCTTCGCCTGGATGAAGTCGGCTGATCTCAAATGTGAAATTGAGGGCTTCCTGTTTGCTGCTCAGGACCAGTCACTTCCCACTCGTAATCGCCTCAATATCAATATGAAATGTCGACTGTGTAATGAATTTACAGAGACTGTCCAACACTTTGTCAGTGGATGCAAACAACATATCTTAAGAGACATGATGGCATGGCACGTTGCTTTTACTACCGTCTTCGCCATGCCTGTGGCTTTGACTCCGAGGTCCATCCATGGTACGACCCTGAACATGTCCAGGGCGTGATGGAAAATGATGCTTTCAAACTTCTGTGGAATAAGCCCATATACAGCCTCAGAAGAATTCCTGCCAACAAACCTGATCTTGTCCTTTACGATAAATCCAATGAATTTTCTGTCCCTTTTGACAGCAATGTGATTGACAAGACTCAGGAAAAGCATGATAAATAGGCGGACCTCGCCTTTGAAATGTCTCGCTTGCGTCAGGTTCCCCATTGTTCTCGGTGCCCTTGGTTTGGTACCTCCTGATCTCTTGGCGCAGATCAGGAGAGTGCCCGGGTTCACCACCGGGAGCACAGCCCTTCTGACACTCTGGGTAAGAAGGCTGCAGTGTTTGGGAGCCTTCATATTCTCTGGAAAGTTCTTGGTGGGTTCGACTAGGCAGTGTTTCCTGGGAACGGTCCCATTCGCTGTCTGGGCTGCGTGTAGAAGGGGCAAGAGCCCTGAGCTGATGATGAGCCTTACCATCCTGACTGTGCCAGGATCACCCGAACCCTCTCTGCTTCATTTTCATCTTTAATCTGTAAAACATAATAATAATAGATAAAGATACTTCTTTCCAGCTTTAGTCCAGACTTCCGCATAAAATCTTCTCAGAATGGACTTTAGTGCTCAAAATCAACAGGGAGGTTGTTACATTGCAGCTAATCTGAAATAATGTTTGTTTTTCTTTGATTCTACCTTGTAGAATACGGATTACTGAGGAAATTGATACTCGAAACAGTGTTTGATTGTATAGATGGACTTATAGTATTATGTTATTTACGGATATAAATAAATAAATCTACTTAGTTATCTTGCTTGTGATCAGAACTTAATGGTCTTGATTCCTTGTTCAATTACATTTAAATATTTCCGTAGCTAATTTTGTGCTTAGTTTTGTTGATGTTTCCTTTCGTGTCTTAGCCATTTCGTTGGCACTTGCGAATCGACCATTGCAAGTTATCTCATTGTCAGGTGTAGGTGTCAGTGCAGTCTCCGGAACATTGAGAAACATTTCATCATCACTGTCATCCAAGTCAAGTTCGTGTTTAAAGACAGTTTTTCGGCCACATGTTCTTAATATTTCGATCACAAATATTCTGGCAATATTTCTTTGGGAAAATCAAATTCCACCACACGGGCAAGTTCTCAATTCAGAGAAACAACCTCTCCGACTGGGATGATCGTTGCCGAAACGCCATTTTTATTCAGAAAATTCCGAAAGGATAGCGTTCAGTTACGAAGTGTATTTTCGATTACGGGTGGGCAGACTAGAATGGCACAGTGACGCCAATACATTGTGATGTAATGCAAAAAGAGTATATAATCGTGTGATAAAACATTGTTGGCGCCTTCATTTTCACTGAAGCATCTTAGAATTTTCAATATCAGGCGTGTGAACTTCAAGTGTCAAATAGCATGCAAAAAGTGAGTTAGTTCATTATGTACAAAGTGCATGTGCACGCGCAATGCATGACACAAAATTTCATGCAAGGTGCTTTGCTACATGTTTAATCAGGGATATTTTTATAACTTTTCAAATATCTTACCTATATGCAATTTTTTATTCTGCACCGTTTCTTTTTCCGTTAGAATAGTATGTATACCGTGTCAAACACTTTTTGACATTAAAAGCGTCTGAGAGGATTTGGAATGTATATGTTGACATGGGTGGATGGTACATGTCTTTAGTGTCTAGGGAGAAATTAAGAAAAGGAAAACGGGTAGGTATTGATTTTAAGGGTTTCAATGTTTTTACGGGTTGTAGATCTTTTAACGTAGAGTACACTTTTCATCCCTGAGACATGTCAGCAAACAAAAGATCGTGGTCTCTTACGACTCCTTTGCTCGTGTTTAGTGTTTTGTGATCAGAGACCGTGCCCCGAAGGCCCACAAACGATTCAACATTCATCAGGTTGGTTGACTGTTGTGTTGTCCCTTACTCAACCAGCAGCGCATCCGAACGTAAGCGTTAAGTGATCTTAACATAATCGACAATGCCTTAGATACTGCGGAAAGGGTTGAACTTTAATGGTGTCCACAATGGGTGTCAGTCTTAAGGAATGTGATCCGAAATCAGTTGATTTGGGCAGTCGCATGTCAACAGGATCAGTGTCAAATGGATGCTTGTTATTTTAAGGGCGTTTCCTAAGTCATGTTTAGTCATCAGGTTTTATCATCTGAGCTCAACAAACACAACAGAGTATCATAAAGACAATGCTCAAAGGAAGTGGGTCACCGCCTTGCAGCACCACTGATACTCGGATACGTTGAATTTTCTATACAACTGACTGACTGACTGAGTTTGGTTTTACGCCGCTTTTAGCAATATTCCAGCAACATCACGGCGGGGGACACCAGAAATGGGCTTCACACACTGTACCCATGTGGGGATTCGAAGCCGGGTCTTCGGCATGACGAGCCAACGCTTTAACCACTAGGCTACCCCACTGCCCCTGTTCTATACAATAGACATTCTATTTCTGAAATTCATGAAGTACAGACAGTTGTATTCAATATGTAAAATAAAAACACAAGCATTATATATTCACGAATGTTTATTAAACTCTTCATGACCTCAAAGCAGCAAAATACATCTAATTAATGATCTTAAAGCAGCAAAATACATCTAGCTGTTGTTAAAATAGTATAGAAAACAGGGACAAAATAATATAGAAAACATCAGTACAGATATATCCTCCATTTCAAATCAAATAAATGAACGCTCTTTTTCCTAATGTTTCACAGCTCAAATAGACGCCGAGTCATATATATAATGTTAAATACATGTTAAAACACAATCATAATTGCATCCGTCAGATTTTCAAGAAACAGTGCAGAGAATTTAAAAGCTTCTCTCATTTCGTAAAAAGCAAATACTGCATCATGGCTTCAGGACGTTGTGCATTCTGATCAAGGTTGGGTGATTTCTGTTAAAAAAACAATGAAGGGATGTTATATGGGAAATAAGATCGAATTAAGTCATATCTGAAATTAATACTGCATTCAGCAATATCCTATCTTTACCACATCTCAATATATCCAGATTTTAATATGACCAGCCTCAGTCATACAGATGTAATAGTTCTGATATAGAGCCGTTTCATACAGCTTTCACAGATTCTGCCTATGACAGAGACAAAACTATGGATTTTTGTTTGTTTGATGAGGGCAGGACTTCGACTTGGACGTCGACTCTTGGGGTTATGTTCAGTTATAAAAGTACAGACATCTCTCAAAAGAAGACCAAAATGTTTCTGAATAAAAAGAAATGAAAGACGAATGAGTGCGAGTGCCTTTCAATGTCATGAGACCACACTCCCTCTCACCTTTGATCTGTTCATACATATATCATTTCTTCCTTTACTTTCGCAAATCAAGACATTTGTTTTTCTACACTCCCATAAGTGTCATTGATAATTTTTCGTGACCTAACGCAATAGAGGAATAGTTCAGTAAGCCAATTCCAATCTTGATTCTTAAGTAAGTTAAATCCTACTTGCCACGTGAATGCAAAATGTGGTCAAAGCACGTCTAATATACATATAGAATTGTAATATATTTAAAGTAGCATAAGGACATCTTTCAGAACCACCCAGTGTTACCGCCGTATCATCAGCAAATTGTGACATAATGTTTTCAATATTGTCAATTTTTATTCCTCTTATCTACTGGGTTAACAATTAATATTGAAAAAACAAAGTTACTTTGGATAGGATAAAAAAACAGATCAAGACTAAAATTATGCAAAGACTGGAATTTTGACTGGTCTCATACTGAATTTACACTTTTAGGTATTCATTTTGACATAGATTTAGAAAGTATGGTTGACAAAATTATTCTGATAAATTGTCTCGAAGGCCCACAAACGATTCAACATTCATCAGGTTGGTTGACTGTTGTGTTGTCCCTTACTCAACCAGCAGCGCATCCGAACGTAAGCGTTAAGTGATCTTAACATAATCGACAATGCCTTAGATACTGCGGAAAGGGTTGAACTTTAATGGTGTCCACAATGGGTGTCAGTCTTAAGGAATGTGATCCGAAATCAGTTGATTTGGGCAGTCGCATGTCAACAGGATCAGTGTCAAATGGATGCTTGTTATTTTAAGGGCGTTTCCTAAGTCATGTTTAGTGATTAGATTTTATCATCTAAATCCTACTTGCCACGTGAATGCAAAATGTGGTCAAAGCACGTCTAATATGCATATAGAATTGTAATATATTTAAAGTTGCATAAGGACATCTTTCAGAACCACCCAGTCTGATAAATTGTCTCAAATTACGAAAGAAATGAATACCTGGTCAGCACGAACACTCACTCCCTTTGGAAGAAACACAGTTTTGAAACGTTGTCTAATACTAAAAAGGTCAACACATTCAAGCAGAATGTGATTAATGGTAATAGGTCTATGGCAAGGGAGTGTCAGCACAGATATGAAGTCAAAAATATATTTGGGTATCCTACCTGCTGTTTGGTTGTTTTCTTCTAGTGAAAGCTGTTATCAGCTCCTAAATACATATCATGGTTAAACGGCATGGGATGTGTGTTTACACCACTTTCTGTAAATAATCCATGATATAAAGCACCGCAAAATGTATTCGTTTTGTACGCACAAACTGAAATATTATGACGAGAATTGCTTGAGCATCATATGAAAGAAACTGCATCTACACACATTTACATCTTTCATCAGAGAAAGTTCCTTCATACCTAAGTTCGTACATGATTAATTGAGGTCATATACATTTCCTAAGTGAACTTGTTGAAAATAAATGTGGTCATCCTACCTTGCATTTGCTGCGAAGGCTGTTGACTGTCAGCTTCTTGAAAAAAAATATGGAAAAGACATTTTTACAATGTCTAAAGAATTCAAAAATAATGATTTGACTCTCTTTCGCCACAGTTATTATTCCTTCAATATTTACATAACATTTTTATTTTCATAAAGTGCCGCAAAAGTGTCATAATGACATCCGAAAATATAACCTTAACGAGTTTCAATATGGAAACGAGTGTTTATTATGTTCGTAGTACACACTTGAGATAATGACAGCATATAGTTTATTCACTGATACACACAATGTGTAAGTTTGAAATTGAAGCGATGTACAAATATGAGTATAACCGACTGAAGGCAACTTTAAAAGGTATTTTGGGAAGCTTGTTGTGAGTTTAAGTGGAAAATAGGTTCAATTATGTGTTTACTTTTCTTTAATGGAAACATATTGTTAAATATTGAGATGAACATGGAAGCATGGAGGTACAATTCTGTTATATGTCATCAGACATCTTACCAATGTATCAGACAAAACATACAAACTTCATCAAACACATATTTTACAAATGATTCTAAAGGCCCATCTGTTTGCCACCATGGTTCAGTATTAAAATATTTCAGTTCTGCCCTTTACAATATTATGTTATCAAGCCATTTCTGGCTGATTTAAGTACTATACGTTTTAATCAAACCTTTTCGAAATAATTTGTGATATAATGCCCCTATTGTATAACAGACACACCAGTGTCTTCCTCTGAGTCATCTTACGTGATCGAATTTAATATCAACCATATTTACTTGATCATACTACCTGTATTACTTTTCTGCGACTCCTCTTCGTCGTCTGTGTCGTGAGTTTCCAACAAAGGAACTCCTACACACAATAGATTCCAAACGTTAACATGCATATAGTCATACATTTTTGTAATAATTAATGTTTAGTGGCTGTGAACGATCTAGTCTGGATCAGAAAATTCCAAAATTAATCAACATTATAATGTAAACATCATCTATTTAACATCAGTCAGTGCTTGTGATGAACAAATAAGTGTTGTAAAGGGGGCATGGGGGTGGAGTCCCAAAGTCAGCAAATTTGTTGACCGACCTCACATGGCCACACAGTCAACATGGCCTCACAGTCAAAGGACATTGCTTCTGACATTTCCAATCTACACAACACCATGGCTCAAAGCGACTTATACAAGACCCACTTGGCAGGTATATATCGTAAAAAAGATACACAGTGTGGGTTGATGGCCCGTTTCTGTGAGTTGACTGAGGAAGACTATTAGTGGATGTCTTATTAACAAGACCGCTTAAAACGCCTCTCTGACAACGCCAACAACTCTGTCCGCTTGTTACTAAGAGGTGTCAACGATGAGTGTAAGCAGAATATGCAGGGGAGACAGTCCTGAACAAACTCCTAGCAATCTTGTTCAAGTTTAGGAATGGACGTCCTTGCCCTTGAGCAATGATGTGTTGTACAACAAACAGCGGGACAAACTGCAGGTGAAACTCTGAGCTAATCCATCCAGCTATGATCATCAGCGTGCCACCTGCACGCTACCTTTGTTCTCCCAAGATTCTGAGGTCACAGATATGCTTCCAAGGACCGTCCCTGGAAATAGAATACCTCCCAAGATACACCCTGCAACTACTATTGTTTCATGAAAGATGAAACAAAAACTGCAGACGAAGGCGGTACTCACCAAATCACCGACCAAGAGTCTCAAAGCATTCAAGAATCAGTTAACGAGCTGTCGAAAATAGAAAAAAAACCTGTTTGTTTTCACATTTATATCTACAGTTTATGTAGTTAATATGTGAAAGTGTGAATCTGTTACAAATTAAGGCCTAACTACTGTCTCGGTGGTAGGGAAATATAGTAAACGTACAAAGGGCTTTGCGGAGGAGAGACTATTCCAGAAATGAGCAGTGCGGTCTAAAGCGACTTTTACGTCAAACAGCCAATGGCTTTATGCAAAGTAGTGTGCGATGATATTGTATTACAAAGGACACTTTATAAATGTCCATTTTGAAATTAGATTTAGCTTCATTATAAACGATGTCTGACGTAATAATAATACCTTTAATACTGAAACTATTAAGGACGTAGCTACCAAGGATTCTCACTATCACTTTAAAAGTAAACAGGTAGGAGAGGTCGTCTTTAAAGCAAAACCAGAACAGGTGTCGCAGTTGGTGGTTAGGGTCGGGCTGGGCGATAGAGATATCAGCTAAGATAACGGAATAAAACTGGGGCAGTAAACGGCATGTCATAATAATTTACAAATAATATCCAGTCCTGTCGATCTTCGGGTGGTCATGATATGGGTATCATATACTTACATGCGCAGCACGTAGTACATGCATCTTATGCCAGGTGAGTCGATGGTCCGTCGTCATACCTGGCTGAACGAAGTTTTGCCCGAATTTACGAGTAACATGCTTTTCTGGATATCCTATTACGCATCCCACTGAACGCCCAGTTAGGTCGATTTGGGTTATTTCGACATATGCTACTTGCAGTTTTGTAAATTTTAGGGATACAGAGTAACTGCTTAAATTTTTTTTTCTATTTCCGACATTACTTTATAGATTGACTCACTGACGAAAAGATGTTTGGACCTTCAAAGTTGTTCGACTTTGCTAATTTGTGTGAATCAAGCCAAAACCCCCAAGAGTCCTGTTGAAGATATACTCTATGAAGCCACACCTCAAAAACAGATGACTCCAGTATTGACGTCTGAGGGAAAGATGCTACCTCTGTATACTATGCTAGATATGCCAATTTTTATAGAAACAGAAGAAGAGAAGAGGGCTCCACAGATGACGCTGCAGATGGCTCCGTATGACTGCCAAGTTGCTCCCTATGGCTCGCGAAATGGCCTGAGACGGATGCTGAGGCGATCGTCCAAAAAACCATGTTTTATGATAAAAGTCATTTCCATCAGGGACAAATGGCCCTTCTGCGCTGTCCTACTTGTAATCGTAATGATCACCTGTACTGGTGAAGCTCATACTTGGTTTAGACACTGAACTGCACAGGCTTGTTTCCGTTGCTCTCCCGAGGATATCATAAATGCATGCGGACACCAAGACTTGTGTATGGACAGTACCCTTCCTCTGATCAAACCTCAAACAAGGTTCCATGAACGGTTGATTTCCTTTCAGTCTTGGCGTGCAAATGAAACAGAGTCCTAGTCAAATGGCCCAGGCATGATTTGTGTACTTAATCAGGAGGGACGCTTGCAAGTATTTTCAATGTGGTTTCGTTCTCAAGAACTGGGAAGCAGACTGTCAATTTTGGCCCTGGTGGGAATACCTCAGAATGAGGTGGCCCGCTTGGGTAGACATGTGGATTTATATTTGTAGCTAAGTGTGTGATGTACACTGATGTAAGCTCAAGCCGCCCCAAACCATCACAGAGCCACCACCAAATCTGTCCTCTCCCTCACAATAGCATCGTGGTAATTTTCTCCACGCCGACTCAAAACCCTAATCCTTCCATCGTTGTGCTCAAGACAGAATCGTGACTCGTAAGTGAATAGTAACCCGGACCTCTGTTGATGATTCCATCTCAAAATGTACTCTGGTCCAGGCCAGTCTTACAGCTCTATGATGTGGACAGACGCTGTACGACGTGACCATAGATCAACAGCTCTGAGACGGTTCCTAGTGGCTGAGATGTTGACGTAGAGCGCTGGCAGTTGTGAAGCGGTTCCTAACGGCGTGGAGTGTAACATATCGATCTTCTGCCCTTGTTGCTTTTCGTGGCCTTCCTGATCGAGGTCTGTCACGTACTCTGCCAGTGGTTTGGAACCGTTCCCTCAGACTGTAAATAACGGAAGGGGGACACCTGAAGACGACGAGCAACGCTTCTTAAGCATTCACCATCCTGTAGCCATGCAATGACCCTGCTTGTTGGGGTGATTGTGAGGCTTCTTTTACAGGAAAAGTTGCAACAACATGCATGGGAAGTCTGTCTTTCACGTGCACTAGGTTGTTGTGTTTGGGCGTTTGAATCAGACACAGTGCAGGTGTGTTTTGACACCTTCGGTTTTTTTATGTTTGGGAGAAAATTTTGTTTTATCAAATCTTAACGAATATTGAAGCAATTGCTTCATTTGTTGTTTCAACATGTCGTTTAAAGTGTCCACTAAGAACATGTAAAAATAAGAGGTGGTAAAAGAACAAGTATGATCTCTGTGGATAGAATTCTGGGCCTGGATTTTCGAAGCTCTCTTAGCGCTAAGATAGTCATAAGTGCCATACGATAACATTAACTTACGACTATCTTAACAGAGCTAACAGAGCTAACAGAGCTTCGAAAATCTAAGCCCTGGAACTTATGATCCTGGATGGCCTAAAATCTTAGAAGAACGAAAAAGGAAAGAGTGAGTGAGTGGAGTTGAGTTTTACGCCGCACTCAGTAATATTCCACCTATATGGCGGCTAATTAATAAGAAAAGAAGAACAGGGGCAGTCTTCTTCTTCCTACAAAGAACCTAAAGTCGACTTTGTCTCACCCACCCAGCAAGTGATCGAACACGCTAAAGCACAAAAAGGCGAGAACAGGGTATAACAGGGCATCTAAAGCCTGAAAAATCATATCCTCCCAGAAGACGAATATTTAGATAAAAGTAGACAGGTTCGTCGTCATTTAAACTCGAACCAGCATGCAGTCAACAAGGGGCGGACACAGCTGTTTTAGAAGCGGGTGGGGAGGTGCCCAGTTCAGTTTCACCCGTTTTCACGAGAGTTTCAATGGTTATTTAATAAACTTTCAGGAGAAAAGAGGGGTTGCGTACCCCTGTACACCCCCATCACCCACCACCCTATCAGACTTTTCCAAGACAGGCAATATGTTGAGACGTAGACAGACAGAAACATCAACAGCATCTGTTTCGCCTCCTTCGTCAATGCTTAGTCGGCAGCTGCAGCCATACCACCATCACAGGGGCGTGTCGCGCTTAAAAACAGCGTTAAAAAGATATCTAAGGTATATAGACCCTACCCTAGTACAATATAAAAGGAAAGGGATGTAACGACGAAACCACCCCTTCCTCAATCAAAGTTAGTTTTCACCACGTTTTCACCCCACCGAGGCCTACGGGTCGAAAGCTAGATGATTTCCCTACAAAATGAGCTATAAATGGTCACAATCGGATCATTATTTCAAAATGATGATTTAACTACATTTAACCTGATACGCCCAATGCTTTACACCACGTGTCTCTATAGTTACCTTCTCATACAAAATACCCCATACAATACTATTATCAGTCACAAGAAGCTTGCACCAGTATTTAATCATATACTTTATATTATACTGCCTGTGGAATAAAAGCGGTTAACTCGACATTAACCACTCAATTACATGTTGATTTCTTAACATCTAACATTGTTTTACAAAAATTCAAATGTAACCTTTCAAAATTCAGTTTTAACCCATATATTAGACACATAAGATAATGTACTGCCGACATAATAATCAAAGTAAAAGTGATTCAGGATTGAGAGAGAGCGACCTTATATTATTAAAGGTTATATTGATAATTGATTAGCTATAATATGCCCATATTTAAGTAAGTAACAACATTATATGTTTAGCATATATGCTTGTGCTGTGCTTTGTGACATTTCAGTGAAAATTCAATGTTAACAACCTAGTATTACTTCACCTATAACTTCATTTTTAGGACTGTTTTAAATATATCATCGATATGTTCTTAATGAAACGTGGTACAACAATCGATCGCATTTAAAATAGAACAATGAATTTGGATCATAAAAGTTGTCTTTAACACAACTTTACTGACAAACGTATGAACAACCAAAGCCAAAAAAGACATTTACAAGGAAAAATCAAGTGACAAACGAAACCACTATTATCCCTCTTGTAGGAAGTACTCAAATTGTAAGAGGACACGACCTCTAGAGGGAAGACATTGGTTGTTTTTCTGAATGTGGGATTTGAAACTAATGCTATTTCCACCATGGATAGCTTAACACGATTTCAGAAAATTAGCAGTAACGACAAACGCTCAAGTGATATGGCCAAATGCCTTCGGACATGTGCACTGTCTCGCATGAACGCACTGTACACTCGCGGCGATCATCTGTCGCCAGGACAGCTGACCTTCCAGTGCATAGTTATGAATAGCATGTGTTTGATCTTTTGTGGTCACCCTGTTATGGAGGGAGAGAGGGTTCTGGAACTTCCGAATAAAGTTCAAGAGGTTCAGACACGCGCCTTGTTAGGGGACACCTGAGCGGTGTGACTGCTCAAACCAGGCGAGTAGTAAGCCATGTTTTTCGTGTAAGCCCACAAGGTTGGAAAGCTTAATATTTAGATAGTATTGAGGGCTTGCCCAACCATTTTAGCAACCATCATGTGTAAGCCCGGGCTTTTTTATATTTTTTTAAACTGCAAACACAATACCCATCCAAGCGTCTGTAAAACTTCACTCAACCGTGAAGTCTTTCAACAGGTTCAAACACGCGCCTCTAAAGAAGACCCTCAGAGGAGAATTGTTTTATGTGATGTGAATGTAAACTGTGTAAATAGGCTAAAATGAAAACAACTTACCTTTCCACGTTGGATTTCCTATGAAATCGTTCCATTTTTAGAAGAGAATATGACACTACCTGAACGAATGCTGTCGTCTCACAAGGAGATGTGAATTCGGCAATATCAAATTAATTTTTGATGGTATTCAGAGTTGAAGCATGAGTTTTACAGTCTTATGGAAAACTGGATTAAACCGGATAATCCATAAATATCACATGATGTCATATCTTCCAGGATAATCTTCATGTCATATCTACCAAAGTAAAGAGGCCAATCTGGACCCCCAAAGTAATAGGTTATACACCTGCGGAATGAGGCAATAGCTTCTAAATTTTCTTCACCAGTGTTATGAGGGTCAGTGAACTGCGTCACGAGGTCACACAATTGTTTAACTAGGTCAACAAAAAGGACGACTTTGGGACCCAAACTCCCCCTCCCCACCTCTTTTTCAACAAATTAGCATTTGTCAGGCGACATATTTGCTTTACAGTTAACACTTTATAGAATAACAATGCAATACTCCCATCATGTTCTTTATGGTATCATAATAGTGCAAATGAATTACAAGCTACACGTCAGGTAAAAACAGAGGCAGCCGATTTTCTTAAAACTGCCTGTATCGTAACTTGCTTATACTAAGTATTTATCACACGATGTTCTTCTTATCACTGCAGGTATTATCCTTCTATTTAGGGATGGGGTCATTCTTTTAAACAGTTTTGTCAAACGCAAAGTGAAAGACCAGTAATGAGTTCTTTTTGTAAAACTTGCCATAGGGGACGATGCAACTACAGGGGCGATGCACTTTGGATGTCACGTGTCTACCATCCCCAGTATGGTCGCATAGCATGAAGAGACAAGCAGTGTCCATGGCCAGCATTTGTATGCAGTGCTAAGGTCACACAACTCCAGTGCAGGATCGTAATATCCGGTTAACATGTCTGCTTGACTGGCAGTAGCGAGCAGCAAAGACAACTGTAACCATTCAAGGTCCATGTTAGACTCAACGTCACAGCAGCGACGTTTGCAGTGGGTCTGACAGCACATGCGTCTGTGATGTCAACAGTGGCAAAAAGTCATCTTATCAACCAAATCAAGGTACCACATTTCTTATGTTGATGGCCGCATCGGAGTGTAAATACATGTAATAATAATGTAGACTATTTACAACGCGTCTTTACAGACTTCTTATCCTGCTCATACTGCACAAACATAATCTGATTATTATTACACCGGGTGACCCCAGCTGCCTGTTGGAAGGTTAATAGCCACATGACTTATCCCACCGGGTACGCATTTTCTGAAGGGTGGACAGAGGCAGTTTGAACAAACCCACTTGCTTAAGGTGAGACCACAAGTATCATATGAGCTTTGTTTAGAGACAGAACTGAAGTCCTAGAAACTCTCAGTAGTCGAGCCTCCGAACACGGTCACCCATCCAATGACTCTCCGCGCTCAACTTAAACTGATTTGTGACCTGGGCCCACTTGCAGTCAATCTTAGGCTCTACCATCAACTTTACAATCATCATACAATTGCGCTAATCCACTTGCACAAAGACGATCTCAGTGCGATTGTAAGACGGCATGTATTTAAGATCGCGATCTTAACTAATGGTTGTCAATGAGACATTGTTTTGGTTTTCTTATAAAAGAAAATGTGACATACAGGTAGCTACAGAAGTGTTGTAAAGAATGCATGACAGGGTAATACGAATATTAAATAATATTTCGAGAGAGCAGTTGTTATATACTTATTTACAGTGAACTAATGATATAACACTGTTGCCTTGATAAATATTTTTCTAAAAGTGAAATTCTTTTAAAACATAAAATTTTAATGCCTCATCATGTGTATATGAATACTTGTAATATATTTAAAATGCATACTCGGTTTTAGATTTATGGATGAGAAAGACACTTGATTCTGCACGTTAACTTGTATCTAATTGTAGATTACTTTAATGATAAACTACGACAAAATCACTCCATGACCGAAAAGAAATATAAGTGAGCTTATATGACAGACTCTACGGCAACGGGGGACGGCGGGGGAGCCAAGTGGTAAAAGCGTTCGCTCGTCACGCCGAAGACCCAGGTTCGATTCCCCACATGGGTACAAGTCGTGAATCCCATTTCTGGTGTTCCCCGCCGTGATATTGCTTCAATATTGCTAAAAGCGGCGTAAAACTAAACTCATACAGTCTAAGGCAACGGCATATGCCAAAGGAAAACACTCCCATCTTGCGTATAAACTAAAATTATCTGCTCTTGAGTTCATGAAAAGGTCACGGCCATTATTAATCGCACGCGGACACCATTAGCTATAATCCTTTCCTTGATTATCAAAAAGGTATGTTGTTTCACACTTATTCCAACATTGAATCGGGTGGGAGTAGTACTTTGTGATGTCGACTCGATAGTTATGTGTTTCACTACAGCAAATAACGAAATGTATCGACCTGAGCTCCATGCACAGGACCACAAACCACCAAAGACCAAATAAAGAAAACAAAATGACCTAAGCGTCGACTGCCAAAGTCTCGTTAACATCGCAAGACTACATCGTCAGCAAGTAACTACAGGGAAGATGTAATCACGTCTGGGCTCTCTTCCAAGGTTTCAATGTTAACTTCATGACATTGATTAACCACAGAATCTAGGTCTCTAGGATGAGATGCTATGGGCGTCTTAGTCATCGGGGAACTGAAAACGTCTGGGGGCAAGACTGTTAGCTGCAAGACAGCCACACACACCTCGGGAACTGGAAGCGTGTTTATTTCAAAAGCGGGAAAGGAACACATTTCCTCAAACATTCTCCAAAAGACTTGTCGACTCGGTAAGCTGACAATTTGCAGCCGGTATCGCAGCTACCAGAAGCCACGTGCGCAAATGAAATACAACTGACGACGATTCATAGGCAGAAGTGATATTATCAATATGGTTGCTGAACCTCATGAATGTTTTAAGTAGTGGGTCCGTATTCTCAATGCCTTGGGCGAAATCAAATCAAAATGTAATCGTCATGTGTTTTGAGAGTCCATCAAGGTTGATTCTATGGCTGATATCATCCAAGCACAATTTCAGCAACTACTGTTTGTTTTACGGGTACAAATGCAAAGTGCACGACGCTAAACCCTTAGACCTTTGGTTCAGATCAGATATAAAACCTTGTTTGCTTTAAATGTAGAATATTCACAACTTCTGTTTCTTTCTGCTCCTAAGTGAAATATGTAACAAAATACTTACCCTCCGCTCCCGCAGCATGTCTGTTGAAGAAAAATATGACTGCTACATGGAAAGTAGTGACAACATATCTGTCAGTGATGGTCCGCTCAGTTGACACTAAGAGGGTTTCTGACATTTTGTAATGTATTAGGGTAAAGCGGTCTTGAGTATTACCGAGCAAGCACCTATCACCTCACAAAGTATAATTTCCTTATTGTTTTCTCAAGTTGTCAATCGTGATAGGATTTTTATGACATGCCTTTAAAGAAAAACGTCCTCTTCGAGAGAAGGTTTGTCTGCTACTCAAATATATATCACCAGACTCAGAAAAATGGCGAAAAGACAAGCAACGGGCATTTTATCTTTAAACGTGGTGCGTATATGGGCGATGAGAGGGCAAAGCCGAAAAGTCTTGGTCAAAACTGGAATACCATTTCTATTTTAGTATATTACGCAACCCCAAACCATAATGTAAGCAATGTATCGTCCGGTCAACACTAACCTTTCACTTTGTAAACAATCGAGGCTAAATGTACCCTAGAGACCTCTAAATCATCGAGTCTGGACACGATGAGTCAGTGAAGTAGTCCAACGCTCCATCTCGTCTGACGTAGACAAGATGGAACACTGGACTACTTCGCTTGTTTCTACCCAACAAGACATAGCTAAGGACATAACCTCAAAACATCCGATATTGTTTTGCTCACTGCCTTTGTGGGTATTGTGAGTAAATATAATAACCAAGGAAACGCAATGAGTTTATGGAATGTTCCTGAATCTGTTTTGACAGAAAATTGATGAGGAATATTCTCTGACAAATTATATCACAACCGGTATTCGTTTCAGACTAGTAACATGGATGCCATCTCAATACAGAAAATGCTAATATGTTCACATATTTCAGCAAAGTGAACCCAACCACTCAACAAACTAAAGAAGAGCAAAGGCTACTAAATGTCATTTCTCATTGTGGTATATTCTGTAACGTATGTTACGAATGGGAACTGTGAAAAACATCTGAGAGTAGTTAATTTATGTCCACACCAGTGGCTTCGGGCAACAACAGTCCAGCTACACAGGATAACCTCTAAATAATCGGGTCTGGACGAGATAAGTCAATGAAATATTGCAATGTTCCATCTTGTGAGGATGCCATCAAGCCTGACTATTCAATGACTTCAAGCATCCACAAGCTAAGGTTACTAAGGGACATTTCCTCCAATTATATCTACTGTAGTATAAAACAATCGAAGTACTTTCAGCATGAGAGACAAGGAGTGCAGAAAATAAAACACAATCATGGTCGACACATCACAAAGGCAAACTTTTGATCCTGATTAAAACATGGTAACAAAAGGATCATGGATTCATACCTTGTTAAGCTGTCACTGCTGCTAGCCCTGCTGCTAGATCTGCTTCTACCTCTCTTGCTAATTGTGCTGCGATTTAAGCTGCGACTTCTGAAAAGATGCATTCACACATATCACCAATGTCGTTTCTTTTCGGAAACAGTTCTGCTTTAGGTGTAAAGAACAATAGAGGAACCAAAGATCACCATCTTGTGATCAGATTGTAGTCACTGATGACCGTTTAATCTTTTTTGTATATCACAAAGTACAGTAAATAGATGTTATGTAATACTTAGATAATGTTTAATCATAGCATGAACAGCACAGCATCTATTCATATTTATAATGTCATGTAAACATGTGCTGGGAAATAAAAACATTAAAATAAATAAATTAAAAAAATGAACAGCATAGGTTCAGCTGATATTATATTATAGATTTACAGAGCTTGAACTCTGCAAACAGATCGAGAAGAGATCGTTTATCAAATGGAACTGATCGAGAAAAATTCGCTCTGTTATAACGCCGTCATTTTCATGAACATGGCATAATGTTATGACAAAATAGGCTGCTGGGAACGAATTCGAATTACTCATCAGCACGGTACCGGCTGTGATTTTCTGTCGAAACAGAATCCAGTTACTCTGATCATATTTCGAGGTCAGTGAATTTTACACAGCAATAGGGTAAAGAAACAAGACAGTGCTGACTCGTGAGGTGATGTCCCCACCGATTGCCAGACTAACAACAGTACAGCTATACCGGTTGGCTCAAAATAAGCTAGTCTGGACAAGATAGGCCAGTACCGTATTGCAGTGTTCCGACGTCAGTGATCCCATACTTTCAATTAATCGACGACTTCTCTTACGACAACCAAGGGGTCAATATGCTAGGGAACATTTGCTACATTGATGTTTACTGTAATATGGTGTGAGTGAGTTAAAATTGTACATGACATCGGTAATATATTTTGTTGTAATATTAGTGCATGCACGTGGGATGGGGGGTTGGGGGTTTGATGCAAAACAATGTATACTACCTGCTTAAGCTGTCGCTGCTAGATGCCCAATGGACTCTGAAATCACACACCCAAAACCAATTATGCAAAATATTACCAGATAAACAGACGCTTATTATACCCACTGATGTCCCCATCCTGTTTGTAAATTACAAAGTTCAGTTAATAGGATATATTCAGTTGCATAAGTGGTTAGAGAACAAATCAACTTTGGGTGTTTTTGTACTCTTTTAACTATTACATATGAAAGATTTGTGGTTAGACTTATGCGGAACACCAAATTCATTCTTAAAAAACTTGTGGTTAATTAATACCGAGCAATTAAAAGTTGCCAAAAAGTCGCCTGCTTCACTCTCGCCCGCCAACGAAACCACAGACAGGTTACGTAACTGTGTCGCCAGAGCACTGCAGTGACGTCATATGAGGAACGATTTTCAGTTAGTTGTATAGAAAGTGTGTAGCACGCTCATCAGTTCGTCAAAAAGGGGGATTGATGCCGACATCTAAGTTTATGGAAAATACTTGATTACACAGTGCCAAAAGTCACGAAGTATCAATCGAGTGAAACAACATCGTTGACGTCCGACTTGATCTATTATGACGCCATCATTATCATCAACATGGCATTACTAAGGCAGAACAGGCTGGTGAGAACTAGCTCTAATCCCGAATTCTTACGGCTATTGTCTTTTTGATACACACTTTGTAAATATATCAATCGATTATCACTTATTTTCGTGTATTCTGATGGCTTCTAGGTCGTGTTAAGATATTATAATCCTCTTGAGTAGCCTGAAAGGTATCAGATGTGGTATGATAATACTCCTCGATTTCCTATCTTAACAGAGTTAGGAACATTTAAGAAACACTTTATGTTTTAGTTGATGATGTTTCGAGGTTAATGTTTTTACTCACAACGACAGAGTAAGGAAACAACCATAACAAAATCTTGAGTTTTGAGGTTGTGTCCTCAAGATTGTTTGCCGGGGAACAAGAATCGAGCTATACCAAATGGCCTATAAATAACGGATTGTAGCTTTGCAATGTTCCATCTTGTAAGGCTTCGAGGTCAGTAAGTCATCGCATCGGCAATGATGCCGCCATATCACGATGTGAACAAGTCATCAGAGGACATTAAAACAGTAAGGTAAGTATCAGACTTGTACGTATAAAACCAACTACATCAATATTAAAAACAAATCATGTTTCAATACATTATGTAGTACAGATTAAAACAAGGCTATAAACCACTAGTAACTAAAGTTAGATCTCCTTACTGGGAATCATGGGGAATTACGGTGCTTCTACTTCACAACCTTCTCAGCGTCCTCCAGCCTCAACAACCTCCTCCATGCCAACGGAAGAAAACAACCCACCGTCAACAACAACAACCCGAAATGTGTTATTTATAAAATAAACTGTGATTGTGGACAAAGCTACATAGGTGGAACATCCCGACCCAGCAACACCCGAGTCAAAGAACATCGCACCTCTGTTGCTAACTCCGACACCAAATCAGCTATCTCTGACCACATTAAAGCAAACCCCAATCACCAAATAGAGTGGTCCGACTTCACCATTCTCGCCAACAACCAAACGGACTTCACTAAACGCAAGCTCACCGAAGCCATTCACATCAAACGCCATAAGCCCACCATCAACCGTGACCAAGGATACTTCATTCCTTATGATCCACTCCTCCATCAAGCCCAATCCATTGTATTAACATCGCACCTATTGTATAAACATCCCCTTTATTGTACCACTCCTGTATTTATACATTTCTGGCTTCCACTCACTATCCTTTGTGTACTCACTGGCTTCATCAGCTTACTGCTTAACCAATTATGGCAATTATGTTGTTTCCTTTGTCAATTACAATGTATGTAGTTTCATTGTTATACACAGTATAAATATGCAGCTCCTCCACTTCATGTATCACTCTTGCTTGACAACGGTACAAGAATCTGTATCGAAACGTCGCACTCACCAAATAAAGAAGTTGTTATCCATAAAAACTTGTTCCATATTGTACTTTACAGTACTTTAACCCCCTGAGTGCCACCGGCATCAGTAATCTCAGTTGGTGATAACATCACACTAATTTTTAAATAATACAAATATTCAAAGTTCATCAAATAATGTTATTTCTTTCAAAAAGCCAAGAATTATGATCTTCATTAAAAGTTTCTTCCAAGAAGAAGATGAACTATAAAATGTATACCTTATGAGAGAGAAATCAAAACAGTCAAGCAAAATATGCATGACTGTGATTCAATCATTCTTCAGTTCATGAGTGTATTTTTGCCTACATACGTGTCCCATTTATTTTAGCATTAGATTGGGTACAAATTCTCTAAAATCACTCTAGGTGAGAAATTGATATATCAAGTTATGCAAACCAACATGACGAGGTAACCAACAAAGAACGATGTCGCTTTGGCCAGCATAATTCTCAGCTGACATTCGAGCTGACATTTAAGTGCCTGTAGGCATGACATTCAATCAGAGAAAATGAAGAAGTGACTATATGCATTTTAATTCCGACCGTATTCTAAGGCTGTGTGGAAAGCCTTGAGCTCCGCAGTAAATATGGAGCTGTGATCTGGCATTCAAGAAGAAATATTTTTTATCCAATGATTGCTGCACAGGTAACTTTGCATTGGTGGCCAACTCGAATAACGGCTCGTGCCCCTCTCGAAAGATTTCATATTTATGCATGAACATCAGAACTACAAGAACGATAACTCTATCCCTGTTCGATTCCAATGGTACCGAAGCACTCGTATATTGTATAATTGCTGTTTTTGCTTTTGATTTGATTTTTGATTTTAAAGAATTAAACCTCTTTGATACATCCAAAAGAAAGAGAGGAAATATTTGTTACACACATATATTAACGTAATTATTACCAGCTCTTCACCTTATACACACTTCAAAAAAGAAACGTATAGGTGATTTTGAGAATATTGTACTCATATAGCTGCGGGGGAAAACCAATACAAAAATGCAATTACGTTCCAAAACGTCATCTTTGTCTGACTGTAAACAAACGGTTTCAGCGCCAAACGACAATTTTAACTTTTTCCCATATTTTAGAAGCGTTTAATTAAATATTTCGCCAAAACGTCACTAAAAAATCATGCAAAGCAAAAGGCACGTGCAAGTAAGGAGAAAACTACACGGTATCGATCCCTAAAAAAGGAAAACGTTGCATTTATTTTTGTCATTTGTTTTTGCCTGGAAAAGAGGACATCATCATGCCGCCAATCGAAACATCGACACAGACCGCCTTGAAGCTGGTGATTCGCAGTCTGCAGTTGCCCGACATTTCAACGTTCATCAGAGCACCATATTTCACCTTAAGGATCGTTTTCTTCAGACAAATTCCGCCAAAGATCGCCCGAGAAGCGGCCGTCCAAGAGTTACCACACAAGACCAGGACCGCTACTTCCAGGTTGCTTACTTGCGTCATTGTCTTGCCACAGCGATTGAGACTGATCAACGCATCCGTGGTTTGAGAAGAATTGCGTAAAGTGGGGATTCGACCAAGAAAGCCAGTTGTCGCCCCTCTTTTGACTTCCAGGATCAGCGCAATCGGAACTGGAAACTTAGAAACTGGAGGTGAGTCTGGTTCAGTGATGAATCACGAGATAAACGACAGTGTGTTTACCGTCGGAGAAATAAACGTTTTGCTCCTAATTGCAATTGTCATGGTGTGGGGTGCGATGTCCAGCACACAAAGATCTCATTTAGTGCTGGTTCAGGGGAATTTGACATTCCGATTATGGACCGACAGAGGGAGTTGTACGTTTGCATACAGCACGCGTCACGGTCCGTAACCTTGCCAATTCTAACGTAAATGTCTTGCCATGGGCTTCCCGATTTAAACCCGATAGAACACCTATGGGATGAACTCAATCGACGTGTACGTCAACGTCAAAACACGCCTAAGACACTTCCACAATTGGTCATTGCATTGCAGGAAGAGCGGGGAAGTATTCCGCATGAGCGACTTCGTCGATGCATCCAGTCTGCCGAGACAATGCTGGACAAGTAATTGCTGCCAATGGTGGCGATTCGAAGTACTGACTTTGACGCCATCTGGTGGATCCATGTAAACCCAACACTAAAAGCTGATGTTGTGGTTGCAAACTCTTTGTCTATAGACGTGTGTATTTTCACCCTTTTACCATTGAAATTACATGAAATAATTACTCTTAAAGTAACGCTATAAATTCTTCTAAAGTGGCTCATACGTTTCTCTTGTTTAATAATAATAAAAAGAATGTATTGCCAAATGTGTATGTCTAAATAGGGTTAAAGAATCACAAATGGGATTTGTTTAATTGAATATGCAAGGAAAATAATCTATTTTTCAGCTACATTACACCCCTAAGAAAATATTTAAAATGACTTAAATTTTAAATTGAATATAAAGAAAAAATCTGAATGACCTCCAAAAAGTCAGTCTGAAATATCCCCAGAGATGTGAAATATAAGCCCTATGTTTAAGATTAAAGTTAATTAGTTTCATATAAATATAATATTATTGTTTATACGACTCGTAGTGATTAATAATTGATTTCCTAAAAATGTTGAAAATGAAACTCGGGATTATTCTTATCAAAGTACCGCAATTATTACACGTTTTTTATTGGTTTCTCATATTTTCGCACATAATAAGCATCGAGACGAGCTCTGTCTTGAACGATGCCGTGACAGGAATTTAATATCCTTTGCACAGACACAGCAACTCAATATTTGCAAACTTTGTAATTGGCAAATGATTTAGAGCTGGCTATCTCCATGAACACTCGACCAGAAGCAAACTGCTCCGAAGACGGGTGACATATGTCACTTCCCAATAAAATCCGGACATAGGTTTTGAGATAGCAAAATGATGAATCTTTTATAGGTGAATTATCTTTACCGTCGATAATGAGAAATCTAGCCCATGACCCAGCATTACAATTCGGTTGCCTTTTACAAACACTGGGGTGCTGTGGACCTATTCTGCCCTGGGTCCACGGGGGAAGAGCTTTAACCTCTTATCTAGCCGGAGGTTGCTCTTCACGAGTGCCAGCATTTTTAACAAAGGACTCTAAACGCACTAAATGATCAAACGTACTTCTATTTCTTTAGAGTGAGTGAGTGAGTGAGTATGGTTTTTACGCCGCTTTTAGCAATATTCCAGCAATATCACGGCGGTGGACACCGGAAATGGGCTTCACACATTGTACCCATGTGGGGACTCGAACCCAGGTCATCGGCGTGACAAGCCAACGCTTTAACCACTAGGCTACCCCACCGCCCCCTATTTCTTTGGAAACCACATTGAATATCTGTTATAAGATTACATATATCCAAATACCAAACCAGTTTACTATTAAGCATTTGTTCCATGGTTTTACACACACAACTTGTTAAAAGATATTGGTCTGTAATTTGGGTATCCCTGCCAGGCTTTGATATGGGAACTGCAATGGTATTATACCATGATGAAGGAAAATGTCCTGAAATACTTGAAATCCAGATCAAGGTATGACTCAGGCAAATGCTTGAGAAGTTGATAGTGTGTGTTATCAGCACCTGTTGCCGTATCATGAGCTTGATCCAGGGCAGGTTGTAACTCATGGAGGGTAAACACTTCATTATAGACTTCACCATTATTAGAATCGAAATTTACTTGTTGATTCTGGTATGTTTTGATCTCAGGAGCATATTTAGAAGATAAAGAATTTTTGGCTAGTGTTTCACCAATTATATTGGCAATGTCAGTTTGATCAGTTAATACGTTGTCACCTTTTTTAAGATGGTGAAGAAAAAAATGTGAGCCTTTGCCCTTGATTTTTTCAATCATGTTCCACTTTTTTTACATAGGAGTGCGGGAATTTATCTTGCAGACGTAGTTTTTGCCAAGAAAGCACTTGCCTCGGCATTTGTAACTTTAACATGATCTAAGCTGTGAACAGTAGGATGACGACGGAAATATTTTTTTATGTTCATGGCTTTCAGACTAGTGGGAAAGTGCTCGCAGCCACAGAGGTCACCATGGACGAACTAATCAAATTCGTTTGCATTTTTAAGGGGAGGGTCAAGAGCTGAATACGTTCCAGTGGCAGGGTGTAAATATGTGTTTGAATCATCATTGCATATGCATGAATGATTCCCTTTATTGTTGATATGAATGCTTCCCCATAGAGGGTTAAGCACAGATCACCTATGATTATGTATGGCTTAGGCAGCTGAGCATATAGCTGTTGAAGCTCAGATTGTCGAAGTGTAGTAGATGGAGGTAAATGCAATGAGCACAGAGTAATGACAATGTACAGAGCTAGCCGAATGGAAACAAACTGAAGATTTGTATTTAGAGATGGCTGTAAATGACTCCCTGCTGATCCTCCAGAAGCCTTATCTCCTGGTAGTGAAAAGGAATGATGACAGTTGTATTGTCGTCAGTCAAATTTGTCAGTAGGTTTAAGACACGTCTGTTGGAGACACAGTGCTGATGGTGTATAATCTTGAATTAATAACTGTACTTCATTTAAATTCGTTCTAAGTCCTCTGCAATTCAACTGGATCAGATTTAAAGATTGAGTGATGGAGGCTCAATTACGGACCCATTTCGTGAATATGGTATCATGAAATTGAGCCTAACTACTCAATAAATTAAATAAACCTCTTTTGACGAGCAAAGCCAACAAAATAACATGTCGCAGTTGCATCTACTGTAATACAGATGCACAAGATCCGGGGTAGAATAGGTCTTCAGCAACCAATGCTTGCCACAAAATGCGACTATGCTTGTCGTAAGAGGCGACTAACGGGATCGGGTGGTCAGGCTCGCAGACTTGGTTGACACATGTCATCGCAGATCGATGCTCATGCTGTTAATCACTCGTTTGTCTGGTCCAGACTCGATTATTTACAGACCGCCGCCATCTAGCTGGAATATTGCTGAGTGCGGCGTAAAACTAAACTCAGTCACTACTGATGGAGACTGATGAAAAATAATGTATACTACCTATTGCCGACTGCGCTGCCAGGTTCTTCAGGAACTCTGAAAATGTGTAGACACAGAAACTTTACTTTCATTTGATTAGCACATATTTCTTCTCAATAACAGTCTTCATTCGATACAAATTTAACAGTCTTACCATGAATGTATAGGTTTTATCCAAATTAATTACAGTCTTGTGATATGACTTGTTTCAGCGTAGGTTTAGTTTGATGTTGTATGGTTCTGTAAAACTGCATGACTGCACAGTAACAAAAGCCACGAATTATCATCAGAATAAAAGAAGGTCGTTAACGCCATCATCATCGTCAACATTGCATAACACTACTGCAAAATAGGCCGCTGGGAAGTGGCTCTAACCATGTATCCTTACGGCAGATGTCTTTTTGATACAAAATCGGAAAATATATCCATTTGGTATCAGTAATTGTTGTGTGTTCTGGTGGCTTCTAGGTGCCAGTTGTGATAGGAACTGTCTATACACGAGGATAATCCCCCTCAACTTCCTGTCGAAACAGATTCAGGAAAATTCAAGTTAATCTTTACGTTTGACTGATGAAGTTATATGGGTACATTGTACCTCTCAATGACAGTGTGAAAACATTCTGAATAGTTAGTTTACGTCCAAGCCAGTGGCTTGTCAGGCAACATCATTCCACCTATACCGGATAATCTCTATATGATCAGGTCTGGACAAGACAAGCCAATAAATTATTGCAATCTTCCATCTTATCAGGAACTTAGTCTGGCTATTCAATCAAGTCTTTAGTGATGATAAACGAGTGCTACTCGGGGACAATTCGTGATAATTACTTTAGTATTGGTATTAGTTCCCCCTGGAGACTCTGAAAAGATATATTCACATTGAATGAATATAAGTTGGAGTAAACTCACTGCCCTCAAACATATATATCATTCCCAAAACCTGTATCGAAACAAGCAGGGACAACGGTACAAGAATCAGTATCGAAATGTCGCACCCACGAAATAAAAAAAGTTGTTATGCATAAACTCTGTTCAATATTGTTAAATAATAGTGGTACTACCTTAATGACTGTTCGCTGCTTGCTCCCCTGGTTACACTGAAAAGATATATTTAGATTAAATATTTATTCGTTTAAGTTCACTAGACTCAAACATATATCATTTCCAAACTATACAGTTCTGGATGCAAAGTAAAACTAGCAGTGCATGCGCTCAGCATCTCAAACGAAGATTATGATTATCGATTTTGCGTGAATATGTAGTTGTATCATATGGCCTTTGTTAGGTCAGTAAAAGAGCTCAATAGCAGTACTGTGGGGAGTTTACAATAAACTCTGAAAACCATGCTGTAACCGATCTGTCAAACGTTTCATACTACAAAAAAAACTTTACTCAATTAAACAAAACATTCCCGAGACAAATAAGAAAATCAACAGCAGCTTGTTAGTATCTTAATTGCTGACAAATCGACAAGTAACAAGCGCTACATATGTGAAGACTTGGAATTTTCAATGCTATTAAGATTCATTTTAAGCCACGATAGGAAATTTGCTATGTTTAGATGTAACATTATCTATGTTTAGTTACCAACTACAAGTTGGTGTACTCAGGTCCAAAGACTTCATGAAAAGTGATTCTGACTCTGAAGTCACAGGCCAAAGCTCAACAGAGAACGCCTGTCAGTCAGGGTCAATCTCCAAAGACTACTGCTTTACGATTTCATACTTGTCATACCGAGGTTGCATCTATCTTATAAAATATTCGAAGGACTATCAGCAGCTGATAACTTTTGATGCCAATCAAACATGGTAACAAAAGGAGCATGTCACGCCATGGGTTGGAGATTACCACAGGCCTCGTATGGGGGCAATCAAACACAATGCTTCATTAACATTTACATGTCTTGTACCCCGTGTGTTATGTTATCGTTTCAGGGTATTGACATCACCATGATAAAAAATGTAAACAAAGACATGTTGTTGGAAAAGGGACGTCAAGGGGACGCATTGCAGCAATTTTCAGTGCGAGCTGATCCATCAGGACACAGCACTTGCTTACATTAGACATGAGCATCTCACTGTGCATTAGATGTGGTACCCAGGCACCGGTGTGATGAACGGATGTCACTGTGGGTAAGGTTTGACATATTTTCTGGCGATTATCTATGATAATTATTATTTCAAAATGAAGATATGACAAATACAATATATGTAATACCTTGTATTTTCAGCATTTGAAGATCGTCCACATTCCAACGGCCATGTATTTCTGGAAAATAAATATTCACATGTAGAATGGATTTTCATAAAATTATATCATATATCAATTTCCTGACTATGAACCCATAGATATAGAGCAATAATCATCCAACCTATATATTCTAAATACTGTCTCGCTGGCAAAAGCATTTCAAAGGAATATAAAAATATTTATTTCTAACATGCAATGCCCCCAAAATGATATTGAATGAATGAACTCAATGAAATGACTTTACAGTGACCTTCCATGTATAATTAATCAAAGAAAATAACCACTTCATGCGTCATCATTTTAATAAATTCTGTGCAAAAATGAACATGTTAGTGATTACTTTCACTTTGACCTGATAGGTAGGTAACTTACAACGATTCCAAATCGCGACTTCTCCCTGAATGAAAATTGACCTAAGATTCATAGATATAAAGAAAACATTCAATTAACATCCATTATATATATCCATGGCTGTATGCATCGTCACGGTAGGCGATATGCATATATGCACACGGTACTCTTACATTATGCAACGCATTTAGATCATCTTCGTTATAATGATATTGATACCGATGACAAAGATGTTGAAACTGCAGTTATGACTCTGCATACCGGACTGTGTACGCGGACGGTATTTTCACAGAATGAAAATAGAATGGCTTGATATGTTGAATTCGGAGTAAACAGCAGAACTATCCAGCCCCGTATTTTGGAACTTACATGATGTAAAGACACAGGTGTCCTAAAGCGAGCACCATCACTGCAACGATGAGTCCGTACATAATGTTAAACTGTGACTTTATCTCTGAAAAATCCATATCTTGTTTGGCTGCAAACAGATGCAAATAATATAACATTTGAATATTATTTTTATTTATATATGTGTGGGTCTGTGTATGGATAGATAGATAGATAGATAGATATGACAAGAAAAATAAATTTATTATTTGTAAATATTTGTTTAATATGCATTCATGTCAACAATTACAACAGCGACAGCACTCGTGAGGAGCAACCTCTTAGACCTGAGTCGGGTAACGCTAGTAGCTCTTTCCCACTAGAGACCATATATCTCTGTTCCCACCTATTAAACATAAGAGATAGCTATTGAAAGTTTAATAGTTGAAAGATTGTGATGAGGTGTGTTAGTCCAAAAACATTCAATGTAAATCCTCCAGTCCCTAATTAAGCCATACTCCTAAAACATATCCAGCCATCTCGGCATTTCAACACTGCATCAACACTATTTCTGAATAATGAAGTTACATAACAGATATACTCACCATCAGTATGAGGCGGTAACTCGCACAGCGTGCATCCCGAACTGCACCTGAACATTTCATCTTCTTCCATTGATAGACATTCGTGTGAACAGTGATTCTGGCAGTCGTCGCCGAATAACCCTCGCCGGCATTTAATGCATTGTCCACTCTCTTGATCACATGACTCATACCTCGGTTTACATGACTTACTGCATGACTTTCCGTACCGACCATCCATACATTTGTCTTGTGAGCAGTTTCCTTGAATACCGCATGCATATCCGTTACACTTCTCAACACACGAATATTGGCAACTCTGTCCGTACAAGTGACTCTCACAAAGTGTACAGTTTTCACAAAGCATACGCTTACAACGTAGACAACCTTCAGGACAAGGTATCCTACATGCAGGGTAACAGAAGCCATCAACACATCCCTCTGTACACATTGTCGTTCCTGTGTGGTTGTCCACAATACACGTGCCTTTTAAACAGGTCTCCTGACATGGATGTTGACAGTCTATATCAGCATAGCCTGGTTCACACCCGTCAGTACATATTCCGTCTTCATCACACTTTCCAAACAGACAGTTTTTGCAATTCGGAGATGCTAGAATTGAAGCAATGTAAACTGCAACTGAAAGAGATGAAAAATATAGAAAGAGATATATCCACAAGTAACTCAGATGTTCACGGAGATAATTATCATCCCATACTCACCATATACTATAACTATAATCATGCAAACAGAAGCGTCAAAACCCTTTCCACAGTCATAAGAAATCTCTGCTAAAAACAGAGTCTATTGTATAATTGTGACTTTATTATGTGCACATACTAGTATTTGTTCAGCAGTAAACAAATCGAGTTTGGACCAGACAAGTGATTGTCACCATGCTATACGATGACAGAGCATGTGTTTATGAATCACTATTAAATTATGGTATTCCAAACATGACCTTAAACAATAATAGTACATATCTGAGTGATTTACATGTCACAAAGCAGGGTAATGAAGATGTGTTATCATCGTTAAACAATTTACCAAGGCGACGGGACCAGATGGTATTGTAAACCGTTTCTTACGTTTGACATCATCTTCCTTGTCACATGAACTAACCTTCTTGGGAAAGTGCGTTCCTAAGTGGGATAACTTGTGCCCAATCCATTTCATTTTCGAATAAAATATGTTTTAAAAAAAAAGAAAAAAACTAATCATCTGACATACCAATCCACAAGAAAGGTAATATTAAGGACTGTTCTAACTATAGACCACCTTAACATCTTGTTTATAAGGTCTTTGAAAAATGCATATTTAAATATGTCTTTAATTTCGTGAGAGATAACAGTTGTCTCTCAATTTTACAATCTGGATTCATACCAGGAGCTTACCAACTTATCCATTAATTTTGTATAATTTCAGAAGTCAGGGCTGTATTCTGCGATATAAGCAAGGCATTTGATAAAGTTTGGCACAAAGGTATTATCCATAAACTAAAATCATGTTGGATAGATGGGAACGTATTGAAATGGTTCGAAAGTTATTTACAAAATAGAATGCAAAGAGTAGTTATTCAAGGTTATAAATCAGAATTAAAGCCGACGGAGTGCCCCTAAGGGTCAGTCCTTGGACCTCTTTTATCTTTAGTATACATGAACGACATAGTTGATGGAATCGAAAGTAATATACGCCTTTTCGCTAACAACACGTCACGCTATGTAATAATCGACGATCCCTATACGAGTGCAGTTACTCTTAACTCAGATTTAGACAGAATATGTAAATGGGCGGAAACCTGGAAGGTAAAATTTAATCCAAACAAAACTGAAACTATCCAATTCTCACGGAATGCTGAACCGTCTATGAAACCTCCACTCTCGATGAATCGTACCCGTATAAATGAAGTGAAGATTCAAAAACACTGGAGATGGGACTTGCCCCAGGGGAAGGCATAGAACCCGGCCAAGAATATCTTGGTCAAACCATCTTAACACCACACTACTTGAGTGTGCGAAAGTGACAGGATGGCCTGCAAATCCACGCCTCAATGGCAAGTCGCTTATATAAGCTGCATTGGGACAATGCCATGCCCATGTATGCTTTCCTGACGGAACAAAATCTCCTAGAGCAATTCCGACGGCATAAAAATCGCATTCCTTGTGAGCCAGTTCAACCCATAACTGGAGCCCGTCAGGAACCTTTGCATGAACAGAATGCTCAGGTGGCAGCTGACCCAAAACCTTTGATGGACGTCCGCGTTAACCTCTCTCCTCTTCCTGGTGGAAACTCTTCTGGTACATAGCCAATTGGCCCCGAAAATTCGGACCCTCACTCTTCCTCTTCCTCAGTTGCAGAGCTTTCTAAAAATCCTGTGTATATTTTGCTTCATTCTATTTATGATGAAAATCTGACATACCGTTAGAAAAACGGAGGCCAATCACACAAACAAGTGGATCTTTTCCAAAAAAAGGAAATAAATTTATTATATGACATTATTTCTTTGACACCTTATGCGGACTGTTCATGACATGAAGTTAATTGCTGAGTCTATACTGCCGTTCGAACCTTGGAGGAACTTCACACGGTTTCCAAAGAAAAATCATCTAATACTAAGAACAATACACCAAAGAAAACCGGTTTCAAGTAAAACTGACGGAAACTAGAAAATACATTTCCTGGATAGATCTGTGCCTTAAGATGAGATCATTAGGGAATCCCATGTCTAAACGGCAGAAGTCAATTTGGAGGAAATTAAAATTACAGTATAAGACAACCAAAGAAAAGATACTTCTCCAAATTGTCGATTCCCTTAAGGCAAAATTATAGTTTTGGTCTGAAAGAAAGAAAAAATGGGAAAAGAGAAATAAATTCATCAAACAAAACAAACGTTTTAGAAATAATGAAAAACACTTCTACAGGCAACTGAAAACAAACGGTGATGGTGAGCTTGATAAGCGGCCTCCCATGGATGCCAATGAGAAGTTCTGGAAACAGTTGTGGTCTGTACCCGGCGACTGTAACCTTGAGGCACCATGGGTCAGTGATTATGACCATGCAATGCATGAGAAAGTAACTAGGTCGTTTGTCTGCTACATCTCACCTGAAAAGTGTTATAAAAAACGTCCAAATCTAATACAGCTCCAGGGCCTGATGGCATTCGAAACCTGTTTTGGAAACTATTTCCCTGTGTCCAAACACCATTACTTCACTGCTTCAATTCTCTCGTTGACACAGGTGATGTTTTTCCGTGGTTCTGCAAAGGTCGCACAATACTCCTTCCCAAAAAAAGGAGACTTGACTTATCCCAAAAACTTTCGCCCTATTACATGTTTGAATACACAATACAAATTATTTACAGACATTCATGTGACAAACCTAGTGTCATCATACTGCTCTGCTAATGATATAATTTACAGAGAGCAGAAGGGAAAAGAAAGGGGTGTTGGGGGTGCAAGGATGACGGTAGTAAAAGCAACGAGCCATGCCATCATGTCGTTTAAGATATGCTGTTTGTGCCAAAGAAGGACATCCACTGACAAGGTGTTGGACAGTCTCTGTAAATTCATTACATAGTCGACATTTCATATTGATATTTTCTTTAAGAATCACATTTTGGCGATTACGAGTGGGAAGTGACTGGTCCTGAGCAGCAAAAACGAAGCCCTCAGTTTCACATTTAAGACCAGCCGACTTCATCCAGGCGAGTGAGTCGGTGGGATTGCTATTCTGTTCCACACACTGCATGTACACACGATGCAATGGCTTTTCATAAAGCTTCTCCACAAATGACCGACTCAGAGCAGACTTGGTGAAGGAATTCACCTGGTTTACTCCCATCGCTGTACCGTCCAGCAGTACATCGCCATCAGCAAAATCAACCTCAAATTTCAGATCCTGTCCAACAACCTTGGCACGGTTAAAACAGCTGTGGAATTCCTTGCTTTCATCATGAGTATTGACATGCATCACCAGAAGATAATCCGTTAAATAAATATGTGCAAAAGTACACAATAAAATTCTATCATGAAGAACCTCCACATTAATCAAACCCCGACCTCCGGAATTGATTGGCATATATAAACGGCTAAGAGAGGAACGAGGGTGGTGGGCTCTGTTATCAGACATGATCCTTCTGGTCAGGCGGTCAAGACTCTGGATGTCTTGTTTTGTCCAATCAACTACTCCAAAGGAATAGGAAAGGACTGGCACAGCAAAAGTATTGGTGGCTTTGACCTTGTTTCGAGCATTAAGCTCTGAGCTCCAGATTTTCTTTAAGCGAGATTTGTACTCGGCCCAAAGTTTGTCTTGAATTTGGGCACTCTGGAGTTTGTCTCGAACTTGCATTCCAAGATAGGTGTAGGCCTGATCTTCCACAAGATGCTCAATATTACCCCCACCCCCACCCCTGTTAGTTGACCTATCCGCCATTTACTACTTTGTAACGTTTCAAATGAAGAGTACTATATTTGTCGAGTCCAGATGTCATGCCAATATCATTAGAAAAGGACTCGACAAGGAGAACCTGTTCTTTCAAAGTGATATCTCCTTTGGCAAGGAGCTTGATGTCATCCATGTAGAGGAGATGAGCAAACGGTGTTGGGGATCTGTGTTGAGGAGGTCCGGGATGGTAACCCCCCTCTCTGTTGAGCAGAAAGCTCAAAGGATTCAGAGACAAACAAAAAAGCAAAGGACTAAAGGAGTTCCATAGGAAAATTCCCCTTCTGATTCCGAAGTCTGCACCTGCCTTTGCGAGTACATCTCAGCAACGCATTAAAGACTTCAGTAAATCAAGTAGTCGCTCAGGGAGGTCAATACAACGAAGAGACTTCAGAATCCATTTATAAGGGACAGCGTCATATGCTTTTTTGTAGTCAATCAAGCACATGGAGAGGTTGCGGTGATATGTTTTAGCCTCTCCAAAATCATTTTCTGTACAAGAAGTTGATCCTTGCACCCCCAACACCCCTTTCTTGTTCCCTTCTGCTCTCTGTACATTATATCATTAGCAGAGCAATATGATGACACGAGGTTTGCCAAACACCCTGTGAATAATTTGTATTGTGTATTCAAACATGTAATAGGGCGGAAATTTTTGGGATAAGTCAAGTCTCCTTTTTTTGGGAAGGAGTATTGTGCGACCCTCTGCAGAACCACGGAGAAACATCACCTGTTGTCAACGAGAGAATTGAAGCAGTGAAGTAGTGGTGTTTGGACACAGGGAAATAGTTTCCAATACAGGTTTCGAATGCCATCAGGCCCTGGAGCTGTATTAGATTTGGACGTTTTTTATAACACTTTTCAGGCAATCTGGTGAGATGTAGCAGACAAACGACCTAGCTACTTTCTCATGCATTGCATGGTCATAATCACTGCCCCATGGTGCCTCAAGGTTACAGTCGCCGGGTACAGACCACAACTGTTTCCAGAACTTCTCATTGGCATCCATGGGAGGTCGCTTATCATGCTCACCATCACCGTTTGTTTTCAGTTGCCTGTAGAAGTGTTTTTCATTATTTCTAAAACGTTTGTTTTGTTTGATGAATTTATTTCTCTTTTCCCATTTTTCTTTCTTTCAGTCCAAAACTATAATTTTTTGCCTTAAGGGAATCGACAATTTGGAAAAGTATCTTTTCTTT